TTAGTTTGACTATAAAAGCGATGAGTGTATAAAAGCAACATCGATATAGTACTTTTCAGCCCCATCAGCCACCCTTAATGCAAAGGATGATGGTCGGCAGCCGGGTATAGAAAATTATATTTAATTACTATCTATCGATTAAGTAGAAAATTTGGCAAAAAAGCGATGGGTGGAGAGTGGCACATATTTTCAATTGTTAATAATATTTATAACGTAAAACGCAAACGATATTGGGGCGGCTGCCGACGGATTACTATTGTACAATATATTACCCGACGTTTTTATGAAAATTTAGCCATACTAGTGATCGACCCAACATTTTGCAGTGGGCTCCTAAACTAAAGGGCCAACGTTGTATTGAAACATTTATCCAATATATATTTCAATAAATCGCCAATATAAGTAAACAATATTGAGCTTATATTAAAGTGTAGATTGGGTACAATATAGAAATTATACTGCAGTACAAACCAAATTCAATATTGGTCCCATTTTACGCCATCATTATCATGCAATATTGGCTTTCAATTTGAAACCAATATCGGCAAATGTATGTACAATAGGTTAGGTCCAATTTTACTATTATTATTCTACATTGTCATACTATATTGGTATGAAATAAATACTGGAATCTAGTTTGAAACCCATTTTGCCATTTAGTTTATTACCGATATTGGCATTGAATATTAATTATCAAACCTTTCCACAAATATTCCTGGGATCGATTTGAAAAAAAAACTAAAATACTATTTTTTCACTGAGCGTATAAAGTCATTACATATTTGTTTGTAGGATAACGCTATGTAAACAGCCAAATATGCATTTTATACTTATTTTTTTCTGGCCAAATACTCATTTACAGTTTTTAAAAGCCATTTTTAAAGATTTCAATGATTTCATGTGGACGTGAATAGTATAAGGATTATAATAATAAAAAAACAATTATAAAACTTTATAAAAAAGTTTAATATTACTTAAAAAAAAGGACCAATACATATTAATATTACAATAACATTAGGCAAAACAAGGAACATTTTTTTATACAAAATACATGTGATGAAAGATCGGAAGAACTGAAAATTAAAAACATTTACCTTAATTATACTTCAGGATGCAGTAGAAACACCACAATGAACTCATTATTTTCAAGATTAAATATCAATTATTTTACATTAATTTCTTTAACAGAAACCCTTTCCAATGTTTGTATGTGATGACATGAACTTTAAAATACTCAAATCTCTTAAGTCAATTGCTAACTCATCAGGGAAATAGTTTATCGGATTTTTATAGCAATGGCCTCCTAGAAAAACATTACTTTCAGTTTGTATGGCTTGGGTAATTTATTATTTTTTTATTTTTTAGAACAATGTTATCAATGTTCTGTTTTTAGAACAATTATTATTGGAAAGAATATCTGAATTAGCAGAGTTGTCAGTTATAATATGTTCATTAGAAAATATTGATACATTTGATATGTTGGATATATTTGTATTAACAGAGGTGTGAGATTTCTGTTCTTTATGACATACTGACATTCCTATTGATCTGTACCTTGTTCACTGAAACATATTGACGTACTTGTATTGGAAATTTCAGGCGAAGTGAGAAGTGCTGTTTGACCACCTTGTTAATTCTTCGGCACTTAACTGCACGACGCGATGCCATCATTGTCTGGAATTTTTGAGTTCTGAAATTGATATGTTTTTAGTCAATGATATAAAAGTTATTTGAGTTTAACATTATTTATGTGAGGTTGAAGCCCTGCTTCGTGTAAAACCAATACATATATACGTATATTTTTAAAGATACAAAAAAATACAAATTATTTTTTACTTTCTGTATAGGAAACTCTTTACATACAAGTTGCTTGTAATGTCATTTTCTATAATTTTTGTTCTATACATAATTTCCCTAAAATGGACCGTATTCGAGAAATTTGACAAAAAGTGTAAAATTCAAATTTTTAAGAAAATTGTTAAAATAAAAAGTGTTCTGACGTAATTTTCTATAATTTTTGTCCCATACATGATTTTCCTAAAATAGGCCGTATTCGAGAAATTTGAGGAAAAGTGTAAAAAGACAAGCATATTTATAACTTTAGGTATGACACATCAGATTTTTAGAATAACATTTTAGGTTTAGAAACATAAAAAAAATTAAAAAATACCTATAGTAATTTCAAAAAAATTGAAAAATATTTTTGTTAATAATCCTAAAAGATTATGGAAATCCAGAGATACATGGAAAAATCCGAAAGTGGCATCACTGTCCTAAATATTACCATAGGGTACTTAAGTATATATTTTTTGATAATACCTACTTTAATCTTCATACATTTATTAAGGTTCACGGTTAGAATTAATATTGGTCCAAGACAATCATGACATTGGCCTAATATTGGTAATCATTTCGAAATGCAGTCGATTAATTCGGTTGTTTGTTAATAAACAGAAAAACATTCTACTTACAATTTTTCTTTCAATCCAAAATCCAGATGAAGAGGCTTTTCTCAATAATTCAGAAAACTCTTTAAAAAAAAAAAATTAGCTACCCTTAAATTTAAAAGAAAATGTGTGGAAATATAAAGCTTTAACGGTAATCCGGAATTTTACATCATGGCGTGTTACATATTTTAATTAATAGGAAAAAGACTACATCAGTTTTTATGTGAAAGGTTCTTAAAAATGTTTAAACAAAATAACTTTTATCTTAGTAATAGAAAATATTATTTCTTTAAACAATTATTCAATGAAAAAAATGTATGTACCAGTTATTCATGGTCATGGAGACATGCACAACCTGAGACAATAGTCTATTCCTACACACCATAGTGTTGCCAGAATATTTTTCTGTTATGTAAGTATTTTATTAGTGACAGTCTGATTATATTCATAAAAGAGCAAAAAAAAATAAAAAAAAACAGTGTAGCTAATAGGTACACTAATAGACAACCAGTCAAATGAAGGCATACCCACACGCTGGAGATAAAAGTACCTACTAGCTTTTGCCTCGAGCGTACTAAATACCAGATTCTTTAAGAATATACTAGACTGGCAACACTGACACACTACACAAGCAAAAACTACAATATTAAGTAGGTATCAAAATATTACAGTACAAATCATGCGCTGTATGAACTTTATGCGTAGAGCGCATGGTGTTTTTTGTACCGTACCTTAAAATTATGGTTTTTGAGTGTACCTATTGGAACAGACCTGTTGTAAACTAAAGCTGCTGGATTACCATTTGGTTATAGTGATCAATGATTATAATTAACATTGGCTTGAGATAGACATGCAATTGGCCTAATATTATCAATAATTTCAAATGATATTTTTACTTTTTATTCAGCAAAACAGGTTTAATAGGTGTGCACAACTCTTAACAACGTAAACTGAAACTGCCGGATTAGCCACATGTCTAAAATATTTAACGATTTGATTCAATATTGGTTCAATATTGGCATACAATTGGCAAACATTTTAAAATACACAGCAGTGAATTCTTATTTGTTAATTAGCAAAAAAAGATTGTACTTACATTTTATGAAAAAACATCCCTCACTCAAAAGCACAGTTTTCACTAAAAAAAATTCGTAGCTTATATTAGAACAATTATCCGGGCAGCGTCCAGTTGTTAGACGTATTTCGTACACATCTGTTGACTGCTGTTACAAGACTGAGACTTAGGCAAGGTGGCGCGTAGCTTGACATGTGATCTCTCACGTGACTTAGGTCGGAGGGGTGGATAAGGTGGTTTCATAATAGCTCTGGTGATTGTGAATGCCGTATCCTGAGAGCTAGAGCGTGGCTAGAGCTTATATCTTAATCGGTTAAACTGGGGCTAGCTGTTCGAAACCTAATAATTTTAATACAATAATAATTGTCTGGAACATTATTTTGGTCAAAGTAAAATATTGTGATGTAGTGGTCAAATTAGTAGGTAAGTACCTACATATATTGATATTAGGATTTATTTCAAAAATTAATACTTTTCTAATATAGGTAGGTATTTATAAAAAAATTCATAAACTAAAAATCAGATATTTCAATATTAAATTAATACCTTTATATTTTTATAATTTGAATATTTAACTCTTTAGTTATTCTATAAAAAAATGCCAAATTTGACGTTTCTTTTCAACCCACAAGTCCCATAACGCATTTTTTTAATGAATGAAACAAAATCTTTTTTTTTAGTAAACAATTATTACTTGGCATTAATCAACTTGTTTTAAAATAAAGTCTTTGTTTAATTTGGAAAATAATCGATTAATCCCTTCAGCATACTGATATGGCCTACATATGTAAATTATGTAAAAAATAGATAATATGCACGTTGGTGTAGAAAAAAATCAATAAAAATATAATTAAGTACCGTTATTTGTTATATTATACCACATTGGAATAAAACTTATATTGGAGTCATATTGGAAAAAACGTTGCCAATAAGAACAAGAAATTCATATTCGTCTAATATTAGTCCTATATTTCGATATAAGATTGAATTATGTGCCCAATATGAGATAGCAGAAACTATTTCTCCAACATTGGTACTATCTAAAAAATAAAGTTTAAAACCTTGACAGAAAATCAATAAACTACCATTATTTGCTATATTGCAACCACATTGCAAAAAAATGGTAAATTATATTGAATTAATATAGAAAAAATAGGCGTTGCCGATATTAACATTAGAAAAATATGTTGAACTGTTATTAATCCTATATTTAAAATCAATATTTTTTTAACATAATTTTAAATTCTTTAGCCTACTTTAATATTTACATTATAGACAGAACATAGCTCTCCAACATTGGCACTATCTACTAAACAAAGATTAAACCTACATAGAAAATCCAATAAACTACCAATATATGCTATATTGCATCCACATTGGTACAAAAGGGATACTGTATATTGGATTAATATTGGAAAAATAGGCATTGCCACTATGAACTTTAGAAAAATATGTTGGGCTGATATTAATCATATGTTTTAAATAAATATTTTTTTGATATAAAATTGAATTATGTTACCAATATGGGCAACTGCTATTGTTTCATCATTTAGAGAACATAATTCTTCAAGATTGGCCCTATCTGCAAAACAAATATTAAACCTAAATAGAAAATCAATAAAAATCCAATAAACTGCCGTTATTTGCTATATCTCACCCACATTGGAACAAAAATGCTAAATTATATTGGATCAATATTGTGAAAATAGGTGTTGCCGATATAAACGTTAGAACTATATGTTGGGCTAATATAAGGGCAATATTATAAAGCAATATCTTTTAGTCATAAAATAAAGTTATTTTGCCAATATTGGCTGCAGATCATTAATATTGGTCCAAGTTTCAAATATGGGACCAACATTTTGCCAAGCGACAGCCAAGATTCATTGCTACCTGGGTTATCATACCATAACAGAGACGCAAGAAATACAGCTTCTTCCTCTATTATTTCAAAGATCTGGTTTTGGATTAAAATTAACACCTTTTTAAAACTGGCTCAAAAAGCTCTTCGCACGAGTCTTCGTCTATCCAGTCTGCATATACATATAACTATGCACTTGAGTGACCGAAGTGTAAAATAACTTCATGGTCATTAGATACTTTGTTATTAGATTGGCTTAGTGGAACATTTTCACAATTGGGCTCGAGTAAATGATCCATAAGCGATTTGCAAGGCTAGAACCTACGTGGAACCCGCCGATATAGGTATCAGTTCTACAATATACAGTTGTACAGTTTGGAGCTCTGTTTCGCTTACAGCTTTTACAAAACACCGGACATACAGACTTTCATAACTTCAAAAAACTAAAAATTATTTAATTTAAAAGCTTCGACTTAAAGTTGTATAGATACCTATAGTTTTATCAATAAAATTTTTATTTATTTTAATATAACATTTACAGTTAATTTTTTCGCTATTTTGATTAATTTATCAGAAAAAAATTGTAAGTAGTTGTTTATCTTAATAATTAGTTGTATTTAAAAATCAAAAGGAATAAAAAACATTATTGTATTCTAATAGTTTTTTATACCTAATGTTATTTTACAATTTCCTATGAAAGTGTTCGTAAATGATATCACATTTTGATTGAATCTTGGTTTTTTGACAAAAATATTTTGTCATAAGAAACATATTGTACATCACTTGTGTAAAAGTGATTTTTCACATTCGTGTGATTATCGCAGTCGGCTAATGCCTCGTGCGAGAATACTATATTGTGACCCTTGAAAAAATATATTACACCCTTCCCTTTTAATATTTAGGTATTCACGTCAAGCCCTTACAGGTATTTATCGAGTGCCTCAATAGGATTTACGAAGACCTATCGGCACTTTGAAATGTTGATAAGGTTGAAGAAGTGCATTGCATTCCATATTTTAAGACAAATAATTAAAATTTTCCCATCGAGGTAGTACCTATCGGTGCATTTGCCTCTAACCGATTCTTCGGCGCGTTTGCCAAATTGTGTTCAAATAATTCCTAAAAAAGTTTATCTACCTTATAAAAATTGATCTTTTCACATTCCACTTATCGTTTTCATCACTTCTGCATAAGTTTTTTGCAAAACGTTATATTTTTTTACTATTATTGTTGAATGTAGATTAACAAAGTGCACATTGATAAAACTATAGGTAAGTATCTATACAACTTAAGCCGAAGCTTTTAAATTAAATAATCTTCAGTTTTTTGAAGTTATGAAAGTCTGTATGTCCGGTGATTTGTAAAAGCTGTATGCGAAAGAGCTCCAAATTGTACAACTGTATACTGTAGAACTGATACCTATATCAGCGGGTACCACGTGGGTTTTAGCCTTGCAAATTGCTTATGGACCATTTACACGAGCCCAATTGTGAAAATGTTCCACTAAGCCAATCTAATAACAAAGTATCCAATGACCATGAAGTTGTTTTACACTTTGGTCACTCAAGTGCATAGTTATATGTATATGCAGACTGGGTAGACGAAGAGCTTTTTGAGCCAGTTTTAAAAATGTGTTAATTTTAATCCAAAACCAAATCTTTGAAATAATAGAGAAAGAAGCTATATTTCTTGAGTCTGTGTTATGGTATGATAAACTATCCAATTCTCTAGAGTCGTTCCTTTTCTCTATGTATAACATTATATGTACATTAGGGTGCTTCATTTTCAGGCAATATTTTTTTTTTTCTGTGCTACCTGAAAATCTGAAACTTTATAAAAAATAAAAAATTTAACCACCGGGTAAAAGGTTCTAAATGCAATAGCGACTTAGCTCATTTAAAAATTCGATTTCTCATTTAAATACCATGGGAAAAATTTTTTGTTGGTTTCAATTTGATTTTTCGATATTAAAACCAATTTTTTAGGAGAAACCTGTATATAGCTCTTGTAGGGCATACAATTTGCTACAAAAAGTTTTTCTGAATCAATCCTCTCCGACTAACAGTTTTTGAGTTAAATCTTCTTTAAACAAAAATGTATTATTTATACATATAATAATAACTTATTATAAACATTAGGACGCTACAGTCGAGTCGTAATATGATTCAGGTTTTTAATTCCAAAAACTAGTTTTAAATTAATTTAATAAATATAAATTTCAATTAATAATCATTATATAATCAAATTACCAATATGCTAAAATTTAAATTATTGTTTATATTCTAATTTTAAATTTTTTTAGTTTTATTTCTAACCACAGTGACGCTACTCTTGACTTCGTCTATACGTCCATTGATGTAAACAGAAGTTTTTGCTCTTCAATCGTATTGACTAGCATTGATTGTTGATAATTGTTAATAAATTTTAACATAAAGAAGATTTGATGTAAATTATAATTAATATTCATATTTCTATCTCTATAACTTAAAAACTGTTAGTTGGAGAGGATTTATTTAGAGAAACTTTTTGTAGCAAATTTCATGCCCTACAAAGCTATTCACGGGGTTTTCCTAAAAAAAATTTTTTTAATATCGAAAAATTAAATAGAAACAAAAAAAAATTTTTTCCTATGTTATTTAAATAGGAAATCGAATTTTTGAATGAGCTAAGTCGCTATTGCATTTAGAACCTTTTACCCGGCGGCATAATGTTTTATTTTTTATAAAGTTTTAGAATTTCAGGTAGCACAGAGAAAAAAAATATATTGCCTGAAAATGAAGCACCCTAATGTACATTTTGATATGTCATCTCGGCTATCCACTTGACCCATCTTGACCCATATGTTGACCCATGTCCTCATAGAAGGTATGACTTAAAAGTCATCAATTGATCTCAAGAGGTCCCTGAATTGAGTAAGCAGGGCAGTGGACGCAATGGGTCTATTAGATTTGGATCCATTTTAGAGGACGAGAATTGACTTAACTCGGGCCTTACATAATCTGTGTGTGTATGTTGTAGATGGTCGTTCAAGATAGACAAAAATTGACGCGACGGGCATGATGTTGCCCATAAATACCGACACAGGTGCGTGTTGGGCACCCCAAAATATGACGATTTGAGGCAATTTACCTCCATACCAAGTTTTACCCCTAATGAGCTACGGAAGAATAAAGTAGGGCCAAGTTTACTTAATTTTCATTATAATGTAGATATTAATATTATTAGTTTTAATTAAATTCATATTTAAATAGATTTTTTTAAAAGTAATTTGCTATTTGTTAAATTTAACTGAGAAGTGCGCATGGCCAACTAAAGTTTCAGGTAATTTTTGTATTAACATTGTCATAATGCATTAATTTAATTTTTCTCGTTTTTCTCGAAAAATATTAGGTTTATCAAAAAATAAAAAAGAAAGTTTTAAAATAAAATTTTGCATACAAATCAGCCGATGGACAAAAAAGTTTTAATTAATTCTTACTCACTCCCAAATTAAGACTCATTAAGCGTTTAAATAAGTTACCAGACAGATTTTTTAAGTTAAATGGTTGCAGATGCAGCTATATTAAATTATGTCGAAATGTATGGCCCCACTCTAGGCTTCCGTAACTCCTTATGGGTACAACTTGGTACAGAGGTAAATTGCGTTAACTCATCATATTTTGGAGTGACCAACACGAACCTGTGCTGTGTCGGTACTTATGCGGAACACTCTGTATGTTTATAATGAACCTGATAGTGATGATTCATAAACCCAGCAAAATGTAGGATATTTCTGGAAATTTGCTACCAAAACCTTCAAATGTGAAGATATATAATTCGTTTCTACACCCACATGTATATTAGCTTATCTATGCACAGTCTACAAAACGAGAAAATATGTCATTGCGCTTAAGTGAATGAATATATTTTATATTCATTCTAGGTAGTATTAAGAACACTGAAAAAAAAAAAAGGAAATCCACCAAGCACAGTTCATATTTTGGACACCTAACAACTACTATCTATTATTTTTAAAATTTTAAATAAGTGACAATTCTGTCAAACTAATTGTCAGTATATTTTGTAGTTATTGAGATTAAATAGCATTTTTACTTGGTCCACATTTGAAAAAAAAAAGAATTAAATTTTAATCAAACTATTTGAAACTAATTTAATTACGAGTTTTATGTTTATTTTATTTTATAAATTATTATAATTTATAAATTATTTTAAAATTGGTTATTTTGTCTAAATACCCTAAAATATTTTTTTAAATTTGTAGAGTTTCGTTAGTGGGTCGTAGAAAAAATAATCTATACAACTCGAGTGGACTGTCCATATCCACTCTTGTTGCACAAACTACTAGTTGTAAATAGTTATACAAAAAATAAATGTGCCCATAAATTATGTAAATAAAAAGTTCCTTGGTTTTTTCGGTCAAAAAACCAAGAAACATTTTATATGTATAAAATTCTACTACGAGTACTGTCAGGAAATTATCCTTCTTCACATAAATTACGTTTTATTTTCAGAAACTAAGAAATTTTATAAGAACTGGCAACACAGGTTACAGTAGGATACCCGTTCAAGTAAAAAGCCGCTTCGATACCCAATATACAGGGGAGGGATAACATTCTTCTGTCAAGGTCTTTCTTACTCTACCATTTCGCGGTATATGCCAATAACCGGTATTTCTACCATTCTGTTTTAGGCTGAAAACAAACATTCCTTAAGGCTCAAAA